TCATTAGGCCCAACAAACAAAACTTTATCTATATCGCCATCTGTAGAACATCCAGAATACAGGAATATAAGTAAGTCTATTCATCCTACATGATATTTAGACAGTGAGTAACAATTGTGGTTAACTTTCTGACCACTTTGTAAAAGTGAATTAATATGGGAACTTGGTAACAAAATTTAATCAAATGTTATGTGATTTATTTTCTAAAATTTTTATATATTACTTGAGTTGATGTACTAATGTTTTCATCTAAGTGTGAATACCATTTAATATTGGTGTTTTACAAAACTTAATGCTCAATTTTAAATGTTTAAAAATTTAATGAAAGAGGTTATTAGTTCCTCATTCTTTATTAAAATCATCCTTATGATCTGGTGAAGATTTATGTTAGCAGATCAAAATAACATCCTTAAACAAGCATCAAAGTGGTAAATGAAATATATAAAAATCTTTTAAAATCTCAAATTTAATTTATCATTGTAATTAATTCCATTGCACTTAAACATTTATTGAAAGTTTCAAATGATTATAGTATGATATTATAGCTCATTAAAATAAAACAAATGGTATTTCGTAATATTTCTTAACTTTTATACACTTAATGTTTTTTACATTACCACTTGTATAAAAGAAATGTTTTATTATAATGTTTTAAGAATATTTTTGGCATTAAAGTTATTGTATCTAATAGGTGTTTTAAAGTCATGTATGCTTTTACTGATTCAGTGTCAAAGCATTAAATAAAATTTGTTTTGTGATTCAGATAAACAATAATAGACAAAGATAAGTGTGTAACTTTCATAATAGGTAAAGTTAAGTTAATTTAAACTACAACTCTGAAAGTTGTTGGTGTTACAATTAAGTGTGTGTGTGTACTTACAGTAAGATTATAGCAAGATGTCAGTTGTATCATGGTTTGTAGTATATAATATATGTGTTACACAAGAAGACAAGCTACACATTTGGTGCTCTACGTTTAATGGTGCTAATGCATTTAATATTTTACCAATACCTTAAAAAATGACTACCTCTAAACACTCTTCATTTCATGTGCTTTTATCTAGATGTTAGGGGAAATTAACCTTAGGGAGAAGTAAATAACTAAGATCTTTTTGTAAATATAAATGTTTCAATAATCCCTTGCTTGTTTTGTACAGAAATTTTATTTTTAAGAAAGACTGGAGAATTAATGGAAATTTATTTGTTTTTTAGCTTTCGATGAACTTGTAGCAGCTTATATGGAACAAGTGAGAGGCTTGATTGATGGAGGAGTGGATATTCTGTTAGTAGAAACAGTGTTTGATACTGCTAATGCTAAGGTATAAAGGAAAATGTGAAGCTTGATATTAAACAAATTGCATGTATAGAAATGTTTATTTTGTATGTTAATGATAGAAAACATTTTAAAAGTTATTTGTTTTCGTGGTTGTTTTTGAGAGTTAAAGTATTTTTAACAAGTAGTTTAATTAGTGGTAAATAACACTTAAACAGTAAATTTCCTAAATGGGGTATATGACTTTCTTATGAAACATTTTTTATCTTTGTTTGGACAGGCTGCATTGTTTGCCATTCAGAGTCTTTACGATGATGGTTATGAAGCTTTACCAATTTTTGTAAGTATTCATATTTGGAGTTTTTTCTATGTGTGTATATATATATATACATGACTTTACAAAATATATTTTCTTTTCTAAGGAAGTTTTATGCAATTCTGTTAAAGATATTACAAGAAGGTTCAAAGATTTCAGAGTAATGCTTTTCTTGATTTTATTAGTACAATTTTCTCTTTGCCAAATGCTTGTTTGTTTGATTAAAACAACTAATTTCAGCAGTGCATTTGTGTATTTTAGATTTTGTATTCTTCCAGAAATTGCATGCTTATTGCAGTTAATTGTCTAGATTTACTAACTATTGTGGTTGTAAACAGTTTATAGTTTTTGTGTAAAACATTACAGACATTTTTCATTTGATTTTTCACATACCAAACTGCTGATCCAAACCATTATCTAGTAGAAAATGCATTTTTATATTGCCAGATGCTATACTTGGTGAATGCTTATCATTTTAATTAAAATTCATTACAGACGTGATATATTACTACCATTTCTAAAACAAGGTTGTTTCATATTTAACTGATATGAGCTTCTTTATCCCCACCTAATATAAAAATTTTATCATATCTTAAACAGTGATGTTTTTAAATGAAAACTTACTGTTTAGGTAAATAAATTAGCTATATTGTTTACATATTGTGCTCAAGAGAATTTAATTTTACTGAAAAATGTAACAATCCAAATAATGAGTTATGTTATTTTCGATATTTCTTTATAAATTCTAAATGAAATAGAAAATCATCAGTCTATAAAACTTATTAAATGTAGAATCATCAGATTGATGTATTTTTTTATCCTAGGCTTTAAATTTTGTCAAAATCTATATTTGACGTATGGAGCACCTCTTATTATACTGAAAATTGATTTCACCAATAGCTAATGCATTTATTAAAGAAAAATCAGTTAGCCCTTGTTCGTAAACTTTTTGAACACATGGCATAATAGAAAATATGTAAACATTTTTTTCATAATTGAGTTACAAAGAAATGAGGATTATTTTTTACCTGTCTGGTTGCATAGTGAAGATGAAAACTAGCTAGTTTCAAGATTTAGTGGAGGACATTTATGGTAAAAATGGTTTAGTTATCTTTCAATTTATTTCTTATGCACAATCTTTTGTATAAGGTGTATTGCAGTTGTTTTTAATAAATCCTTTAGGTGTCTGGCACCATAGTGGACAAAAGTGGACGTACACTTTCAGGTCAGACTGGTGAGGCTTTTATTATCAGTATATCACATGCTGACCCATTATGGTAAGATATTTTTGGTGAAGATCTCTATTATTGTCCTTATTTTAAATGCCTATGTACATGTGAGCTTTTAGTTTATTTTGTGGTAGAAAACATATTGTTTTAAGAAATAGGTATCATTTTCAAATAATTAATAGTTTTTATATGTACACAAAAAGTGGCCAGTAATTAGCTTTTTATGACAGATTTATAAACATAATAAGGCACTATACCATATGTTTTGTATTTTAAAAATCAAACTTTTGTCAGTAACCCTGTTAGTACTGATCTGCATAGTCTCTGGAACATTGTTAAAATAAATATTTGTGTGATTGGTATCAAGTTTGAATACCTTATGAAATGATAACTGACAATTCTTGAAAATTTTGTTTTGAGTCAATCAAGAACAACTTTTCTGAACTGAACATTTATTTCATTTTCATCAATTTGTAATTACAGTCACACTTACAGATCGAACCTATAGCTGTGGGGGCATTATAAGGTGATGGTCATTCACACTATTCCTTGATAAAGAGTAGCCCAAGAGTTGGCAGTGGGTGGTGTTTGCTAACTGCCTTCCTTCTGGTCTATCACTTCAAAATTAGAGGCAGTTTATGTAGATAGCCCTCAAATAGCTTTGCATAATAATTCAATGTTCAAGTCTTTCATTTCTGAAGAAGTGAAAAAAAAAATGCTTTAGTTTCATGAGTTTCCATGCAATAAGATGCTACATAATACTTCATGGTTTTTGTTTATTGATAACACTTTTTTTTTACATCACATAGCATAGGATTGAATTGTGCTCTTGGAGCTGCTGAAATGAGACCATTTATTGAAACCATTAGCAAGAATACTGCTGCCTATACCATTTGTTACCCGAATGCAGGTAAGTTGAAGTCTTGCTTAGCATTCCACTTTTTGTTTTTATTGTAAATAAAAATTATCTTATAAATCATAGATTTCTGATGTTGTAAAAAGCATATTTTACATTTCTCTAAAGCAGTAATAACATCTTTACTTCTGTTGATTTAACTAAGTATACACATTCCTCTCCTAAGTGTCTGAAAACAAAAACAAGTTTATGCTATACACTAGTGGGTATAATTGTATGTATATGGAAGCAGGCTAGCCATGAATGACACTGGGAAATCTTCTAATGGACCAGTCCCAAATACCAAAAGTGAGTCTTATTGATGCAGTTAATCATTATAAATTAACAATTATCAATACATGATCATCAATGCAAGCCCTTCTTCTTACCTCAGCATGAATTGGGCTGGCTGCTGATATTAGTTGGATGTGAACTGGTCACTAAGTGACTTCCTGGAGACCATAAAAGTGTTACTTTGCCCCGTGTGTAAATATATATTAATATGTCTGTATGTGTGTGTGTTGTGCTGCTTAGGGCTTTGCAAGTAAAATTATATTGGTTAGGTCTTATTCAGACTTATCACATAAAATCTAGACATTTTAGTAAATATATTTTCCATGATTTTGTGTTTTAATCAGCTGTTAGAATATCATCAATACTAATGCTGAATTAAAGATCCTTTCTAAATTTAAGATCATAATTATGATGTTAAAAAATCTTGTATACATAACATAAGGTAAAACACATTTACTTCAATAATGTCTATTAATAATCTGTTTTAGCTAACTAAGAAAAAGAACATTGTCCTTGAATTATTATATGCTTGTCAATAATACCTTGTAAGTAAATAAAAACTCAAAGTGAACAGTCATATATATACACATTTATTCTAAAACAATTACTGCAAATTACAAGTAAACTTTTAAGTTCTTAGTTTTATAATATTCAGAAATTAAGACATTTTACCTAAAGTTCGGAAATTTTGAAAAAATTTATATTTTGTTTTCACTAAGATGGGTCCCACTATCAAAATAGTTAGATTTAGTTTTAAACAACTGCACTTATAAACTTGTTTTACTTACTTTTAGACTTTGAAAACACACATTTTTAAAATATGTCAGATTCTCTTAATTATCATTAACTTCTGATGAAGGCAAATTAATACATATTTCAGGACTGAAAGTTATTCCTGTAATTAATATAATAAACTGTTCTTATGATGATTAGAATTAATTAATTTATTACCCATGTCATTAGCTGTAATCCCAACAGTATCTCGTGAGGTTTGCCCAACTTCGGTAGATCATCTTGGTAACAGTTTGTGACCAGCTTCTCCGAGTTAGATTTTTTTAGATAAATGATTTATAAAGTGTTTATAAAACACCTTTCTTTGGGTGAAATTTATTCACAATTGACATGTGTATGTTCCCACAGAAAACCTTTACATATACTGATCTTGCTTTCAGGTTTACCTAACACTTTCGGTGAATACGATGAGACACCAGATCAAATGGCTGAACTCCTGCGGGTAAGATGTGAGGGTTGTTCATCTTTAAAACTGAAGTTTGTGATCGATCACAGTTTTGTTTTTTATTCTAACTTGTCTTTCACGAAGTAAGCCAAATGCTGAGAAATTTAATGATTAATTCCAGTTTATTTCAACAATGAAAAATAATTTTTAAGAGTAGTTTAATTTATACAACTATATTATTTTGTTATTTAATATTTCATCAATGATGTAAAAATTATAATTAGTGTCCTAGGTAATATTTCAGTCATTAAATACATCTTCTGGAAACGGAAGTATTTTCAGCAGTCACAGTGAATCACATATATATGCTAAAACAATATCTGATAAGGACAGTTAGTTAAGTATTTTACTGTTAAATGCTAATGAAAACAGCATGCTAACGAAATAGTGCATTTTGACCCAAAACTGATAATTTATTGTGACAGTACCAAATGATGTGTGGAGTAATGCCAAAGGAGTAATACAAACAAATACACAGGATTGAAAATATTTAATTAATTCTTTTTTTATTAGTCTTTTATGTAAATGCCTAAAATAACTGCTAAACAGAGAACAGTCAAAGTTAAGATAAAACATTGAAGTTTTTTTTTACTTGAATAGGTAAGGGTTTGGAAAAAACTTGTTTGAATCTATCTTTCTTTTGTATGTTGATATTGGACAATCATTGATGTTAGACATGAGTACCTTCAAGTGCTAAGCAAAATTGATAAAAGTTTACAGTACTGTAAGATATCTACAAATGAAGAACTTTGTTGACCATTAATTTGTATGTACTATTTTTATGATAGAGTTAAATCCACTGCCATGATTGGGTCTCAAGACATTTTGTTGTAATCAGCATAAATTGTACCTTTTAACAAAATTAAATATATGTTGGGAAAAAAACTACTACTTGTGTTATCAATACAGATGTAACTAACTTATTTGAGCTAAAAAATTAATCTTCTATTGAAATTTTTTGTATAAAAAATTATGAAATAGTAAAATAAGTAAGAGCAAATTAATAATTGTTAGGCCAGATTATTTTTTAATAAAGTGACTATAGATCAGTGGTTCTCAACTTTGGCCATATGGCCCCACAGGGGGCCATGCCATGTTTCTAAGGGGCCACAGTAAATTCTAACTGGGCTACCGAAACTTCACTTTCCGAATAAAATATTTAAAATTGAATCAAAGGTTCCCTTCTCCCCGTATCCCCCACAGCTCAGAAGTCAAGTTACCAGACGCGACTAGTACTCGAGTAACAATCAAAATGTTTGTCTGGTATCTGTGAATGTTTTCGACTGATTCTCAAGAGCAGCAGATACAACAGCCCAAGCTAGATTCAAACGTGACAAACACTATTTCTGGATAAGTAGTGAAATAGCTAAAAAATTTCCACGGCTCTGGTAGGAGGCAAAGTTGTATTTTATCACTTTTCCCACATCCTATGTGTTGAATCTAGTTTTAGTCGGGTGACTAATTTGCTATCAAAAATACATAACCGCCTTGATGTTGTGAAGAGAGGTGATCTTCACTTATCACTGATCACACTGCAACTAGACATTCAAAAACTTTCAAGTGTTCATCAGGCCCAAGGATCACACTGAATAAAATGTCAGTGTTTAACAGAATATTTTTTACTTGTATAAGTAAACAGTATTTTATAAGTAAAATATTTAAAAACAGTATAATATTGTAAAAATGATATTATAATATTATAAATATGTTATAAATCAACAGTGTTGAAATAAAGTAACCTTTCCCTAAGTAACAGCATCTATGAAGGGTGGGGCCACAGAGATAAATCAAACTCAAAATGGAGCCACGAGCAAAAAAAAGGGTTGAGAAACACTGCTATAGACAATTTTTCTGAAAATGTAGGTACACTTTTGTTTTTGTTTCTTCTGTTGTGAAAGCAGATAATAAATTATTACATGCCTACATTTAAAATTTTTATGTAGCAGAATAGTATTTTTTTTCCTTAAACCTGGAAATTTAATCTGTCTCTCTTTCTCTGTATATATATACACACACACACAGTCTTTTGCACATTCTGGATTTATAAATATTGTTGGTGGCTGCTGTGGGACCACTCCACAACACATTCAGGCAATTGCTGAAGTAATGAAAAACTACAGACCTAGGATTCCACTAGAATCACTTCATAAAGATCATCTGCTATTATCAGGTATGGTGGTTATAAACTATTTGATTTTTTTTTCCCTTGAAATATTATATCAACTTATCAGCTGTTATCTAGCATTGTCCTATTTAAACTAAATACTTTTAAAAAGTTTTATCTCCCAAAATTAAATAATAGCACTTCTCTGAAAGTTAATCCTTTAGTACACAAGTCCACTAATGAAGTTGTATGAAATTTTACCCCTTTGTTTGTGGCTTGTATAAATCTGCCTACCACCCTATGCACAAAATTTGTAAATTTTTGTGACAGGCCATTCAAATTGTTGTGCACAAAATACTTGCAACTTATAATGGCAACTGCAGTCACCTATGCTGACATCATGTGATGTTCAACTACAGTTGAAGAGTTAAGTACATATACGGGTTTAATGCAAAATGGTTAAAATAGTTAAAAGTTAATCTCTCATATTAATTTTAAATACAAAGGTTTAACCTTTTATTTCTTGCTTTACATATGTTAACATCTGACTTCATTACTATTTCTTTAAGATATTTTTTTTATTCAAATACTTATATTTTGCCCAAATAGATAGTGTTAACATAGAACTTTCTTATTTTTGTATGCATAGTTTACTCCTTTATTTCAATTTGACAAATATTGTTATAGTGAAATACTTTCTGTATTGGTTATTTTTATGTAATGTATCTAATATTTTTGGGTATAAAACTTCCCAAACATCAAAATGCTGCATATTTCATGTCATGTGTAGTACTAATAGCTAACTGGTGGTTCAATAGTGAGTCTGAAGGACTATAGAACTATAAATACTTGCAGTGCTCAGAGCACAGATAGCTTGTTGTGTAGTTTTGTGTATAACAACAAACAAACAAATGATAGTAATAGTAATATACATTATTAGATGCTTTATCTTTTCTTTTGTGAGAGGAGGCAAGTTGTATCTTCTGCAAGCAAATTAAAATTTTCTAAGGAATAGTCGGTTGTTTGAGGTTAATTATCTATTTGACTCTTCAGTGTGAATTCATGCTAGGAGTAAATGCAACTTCAAAATATTGGTTACAAGCCTAATTTTATTTTCAACTTTTGCTAAGATTTACATGTATACAATTTTTAGATTTTTAATGATGTCTTATTGTATGCATAAGTTTTTTTGTTGTTGTTCTGAACTTTCTTGCATGTTTCTGTTGGATTTTTGAATTGCTGATCAGCTTAATGGAATAGCTACAGAAAGGTTTACCAAATTGTAAAATCTAAACCGAATCATACAATTTTGTGTATTCCAATAGTTATATGAAGTTACTGGAAATAGTGAAAGTTATTAATATTTTTGTAACTGTTTACTTTATTCTTGACATTGTTTCTGATTTTATTATTAATCCTTCACTAACTAAATGTAACTTTTAGAGTGCTATTATATAAAGTAATTAAAGTGTAATCATTTCAGGTCTTGAACCAGCAGTTATTGATAGTGGCAGACTCTTTGTAAACATTGGAGAGAGATGTAATGTTGCAGGTTCAAGGCACTTTGCCAAACTAGTCAGAGAAGAAAGATACCAGGTACATGCAAAAATTAACTAGATGTGTTAAACTATACAAATTAATTTTGTTTAGCCCTATGTGCATGGGTGAAGGTGAAAGTGTGTATGTTACAACCTTTCACATTTTTGAATTATATTGAAAACTTAACTAATTTGTTATCAGTGTATATCAGTAAATTTGGTATCAAAATGCAGTTTATAATTCATATTTTAATGTGATGATATAAAATTTACTTTTTTTAATTTATTCAATACTTCCATTGGGAGCCAAGGGGTGTCTTTACACTACAATTTAAAAGTAAGTACAATCCAGAAACTCCCAAAGAGTGTGGTTTTGGACATATCTTTTCAAGACAAGTTTTTCATTTGTTAATTGATAAATGTTTAAGTGAAATACAGCATCCTCAAGTCTTCATACCAACTAGTACTAAGGTCTACCTGCTGGGAGTAAATTCATTGTATATCAGTAAAGCCACATTCTTCACATCATTAATTAGCAATTGCCAACCTTTTATGCTCCTATTATCACCTCTTTATGTTTAGATTTCAATTAAACTATGAACAATTTCACCTGCAAGTTGATAGGGAAGGTTGAAGCATCATGATAGTCAGCAGTAGGATAAGCAGAGAGAAACACTTTGAAAGCAGCTGCAGGCATAATATTTTACTCTGCTTGCTGCACAATATCTACCAAGGTGGTTCTAAACAGTTCCTGAATATCTTTGCGTGTCATTTGGAGACTTCCAGGCTTCTTGTGCTTGGCCATTAAGCTTGTGATGAACTGACATATTTCAGTCACCTTACTACTTCAAATCACTTTTCACAGCACCAATGCTAAAAGAGTGTGGGAAATACTTTCTTTTTAGCCAATAAAAATGTCCAAAACATTTCAGTTCAAATTAGGAAAAAACTGGATTGGGTAGTTTTTTTTCAACATTATGTCCCCCACTGACTCGTGAGGGATCTGTTAAAAAGGAAATATTTAAATTCTCAGTCTTTACTTTTCTATGCTACATATCTTTCTGCTCTGAATTCTCTGTTTTAAATTTTCTTTTTTTCCCTTGTATGAATTTCAGAATGTCCATTAATCAGAAACACCAACTATAGATATTGACAGGCCAGAATTTAAATTAGAATCTACCACCTCCCTTATTTTCTGAGATATCTATAAGATTGTTAAACCCATCAAAGAAATTCCTCCCAATCCTTCAGGGTTTATAACTTACTTATTTACTCACACTGACTTGTCATTGGTACATGTTTATTACCAAGAAATGCCATTTTGTGAACTATGTGATAACGACATTTTTATGTTAAATTATTTTGGCAAAAGGTGCCATTTCCCAAATAGTGTTATTGAGTGAAGACTGAACTTATTGCTCCAGTGAGTAATGAATTTTTTTAAACCTTTTTATAGGTCAGTTAGCAATACAACGATACAATTAAATGAAAGAAATTGGGAAAAGTTAAGAGGCCCATAGCTTTTAAGATAAATAATAATAATTGTCTGTTACAGTCTTAAGTCATTCTAATAAAGTAGGGTAGAGAAAATAAGATATAAGTATAAAGTTTTACTGTAAAAGAACTTCTGATATTCATTTAACCCTTTCCAGATGGGTCACGAGTGAAAGGCCATGTAATCGCATTTGTTGACTCACATTCAAAATGTAATTGAACTACTATTTCATGAATTTATGTCAATAAGTTTGATATCAAACTGTAGTTTATACTTAAAATTTTAGTATTATACCTTATTCAACTTTTTAATTTAAAAGTAAATATTAAAAAAGGACAGTTAAATATCAATTTTTGTGTGTCGTGGTATGTTGAATGCAGCACTGGTTCAAATTAGATGTTTGTGATGTCAAAATATTAAGTCTATAGTTTTGTATGAATTAGAAACTT